AAGTACCACTGGCCTCCGCCAGTATCTCTCCCACTCTACGATCTACCACCTACCAGCACCCAGCGCTGAAGACTACTGCTACGGCTATGGGCGCCCAGCGCCGAAGACTACAACTAGCGCCACTACAACTGCCTAGCGCTGAAGACTACTGCAGCGCTCCTCCTGAGTGCTGCGGCCGAATCCTGAAGACTACCCGTGCCTACTGACAACTACCTACCCGTGAAGTGCATGGGAACCTCCTATGTACTACCGGGTGTGCCTCATGAGCCGTGCGAGCAGTTCAGGAGGCTGCTCTTGCCAATGCCGAAAGGAGGCAGGGGCTGCAGCTGCAGCTCCTGCTCGAGCTCGTGAGGAACAGGCTATTTCTGGCCTGTTCCGCATCCCTGTTTGCGTGCCTGAGTCTTAGGGGCAGGTCGAAACAATGAGGGCCTGAAAATGKCCCTCCGTTTCAGGCTGGAAARACTCTGGGTCTGAAAGACCCAGAAATAGGCTGAAACGGAGTAGGGCCTGCAGGCCCTCGTTTTTCAGCTTTCAGGCTGAAACGACCGGGGCCTGTAAGCCCTAAGTTTTAGGCTATTAGGCTGAAAGTCCGGGACGGGCCCTGCAGGGCCCGTGTGGCTATGCAGTATGCCACCCCCCCCCCCTCCTTGAAGAACCGAGCTTACCTGCGAGGGCGAAGGTGTCTGTCTGAGGGAGGGACCACAGTCCGGGTGGGAGGGGTTGGTCGTGAAGCTTCCAGAGCTAACCTCCGCTTTTCATAATGCGCGTAGATCAGCGTTGCGGATGCTTTCAAATCTGCGCCTGAAATCCACCGAGTGTCGTCGCGATCGCATGCTTTGAATGTGACTTTGTACTGCCGCGGCTTGCTGCCGTACTTGTGATCGGAGATGACGCGGTCAACTTCCTGATGACCATCCATAGAGGGAGGGTCCTGCGATCGTCGGCCCGGAAAGTCATCGCTCTTGGCTGGCGTGTATGATGCCAGCTTCGAGGCGTGGAAGACCGGATGGACCGTCAGATGCTCTGGAACGTTGATCACAAATGAAGGGCCATCGGGCTCATCGCCCGCGGCTGCTGTCACAGACCAAGGTCCAAACCACTTGGGAAGCAGTTTGCGTGAAACATCCTGTTCCAGTGCAAACTCTTCCGCGGAGACCCAAACCAGATCACCGGCGCGGATGGGACATGGTACGCGACGCCTGTTGGCTTGCTGCTGCATGCGGACTTGAGCCTTTTGCATGTTTGCGCGGGCTTGAGTCAGCAATTCCCTGTACTTCCGGACGGAAGCGGGAGAGCAGGCAGCGTCAGCTGGTCGAGGGAGGAGAAGGTCGGCAAAGATACGGCCTTTCCGTCCATCGTGGTGCAACTCGAATGGAGTCACGCCGATCGTCGGGTGCACCGAAGTGTTGTAGGCGAACTCGATATCGGGGAGGCGGTCAACCCAATCTTCTGGTCCGGACGGATGAGCGTACGAAGCATCATTTGAGCAGTTTGATGTGCCCGCTCCGTCTGCCCGTCTATCTGAGGATGCCGAGCCGAACTTGGTTTCATTGTTGTGTCGGACTCCTGCATGAGAGCAGTCCAAAACGCCGACATGAAACGAGTGTCGCGGTCGCTGACAATGTCTTCTGGTACACCGTGGCCACAAATCCAACCAGTGTGCAGGAGGCGTGCCAACTGGTCCATGAAGTACATCCATCGTCCGATCGTGCTGCTCAACGTATCTTGCGTCTTGTAGTAGGTCAATAGATTGTTGTCCGTAACCCATGTGAACCTACGACGCCCAAGGAGGAAGTGCCGCCATCGCTTGAGAGCCATGACGAACGCGAGTAGCTCCTTCTTCCTTGCATCATCAAGCGAGTTGATGGGAGGCACTTTGTGGCTGAAATACTCCACAGGGTGCCAGTCGTCGCCGTCGTGCTGTTCCAAGACTACCCCAATGCCATAGCCGGAAGCGTCCGTAGTCACTCTCGTTGGCAAGGTGGGGTCATAGATGCTGAGGACATGGCACGTCTTAAGTGCTTGGAATGACCAGCGTGCGTCGTCATCGAATACGAATGGCACCTTTGGCGACTGTAACCTCGTCATAGGTGCAGCAATCCTTGAGTATCCGGTGATGAATGGCTGATAGTAGCCCGCCAGTTCCATGAATGAACGAACGTCCGTGGTGTTGGTGGGCTCGGGCCATACTCGTAGGGCCTCGATCTTGTCCGCGAGTGGACGGATGCCTTTCGGCGTCACATAATGGCCCAAGTACTCCAGCTCCTGCCGCACGAATTCGCACTTGTCGCGGTTTGCTTTGTACTTGGCCTGTTGTAGCCGCTCCAAAACAGTGGGCAGGTGTTCCACATGCTCCTCCAAACTCGGCTATAGACCAGAATGTCGTCGAGGTAGATAAGTACGAAACGATCCAGCATATGTCGGAACTCCGTTGTCATAGCCGCTTAGAAAGTGGTCGGGGCATTCGTAAGGCCAAATGGCATAACCAACCATTCGAAATGCCCATATCGCGTCTTAAACGCGATCTTGTAACGGTCCTCCTTGCGAATCTCGAGTTGGTGGTACCTTGACTTGAGATCCAGCTTAGAGAAGAACTGGGCGCCGCCCAATCGCTCGAGAAGGTCATCGATGCGTGGGAGAGGGCCGGCGTTCCTGATTGTTTGCACGTTGAGCTTGCAATAATCGATGCACAACCGCAGGTCCTTGTTCTTCTTCCAGACGAAGAGGACAGGAGCACCGTATGGCGATGAGCTAGGCCGAATCCAGCCTTTCTCTAGAAGGTCGTCGAGTTGTGCCCGAAGCACACTTAACTCTTCCTCGCTCATTCGGTAGATGCAACCGCGCGGAGGTACGGCCCCGTCCTCGAGGATGATCTCGTGGCGGATGGGTCGATCAGGTACTACTCCGTGCGGGCCTTCGAACACGTCGCTGTACGCGTCGAGAAGCTCGGTGATGAGTGGATCCGAAGGTGAGTCCGTCGATGAAGCGTCATGGGGCGGGAGGGCGTGGAGAAAACACACCCCCATCTCCTCGATGTCGTCTCTGATGATGGAAGCTCGCATGCTTGCGGCGAATACCACGTGGCAGCTGATCGAAGGATGAGGAAGAGGCACCGTGCATGGAACTAGTACTCCGTTCCAATCACGAATGTGAACAGTGCGGTGGAAGAAGTTCACCGGGTGATCCTCGCTTCGCAGCCATCACATGCCCAAGATCATGTCAAATTTGGTGTCCGGAATGTCAAAGGACACCGCCTCACTTGCGTGAGGGGCAAAGTACACCGGGACGTTGTCAATGCACCGGTCGATGGACTTGTGCGTGTGACCGTCCGCCAACGTGACTTGCGTAGGATGGGACTTCCTCCGGACGCGTGGGCCAAGGCCGGCGCGCACCATGAAGTCCTGGCTGATGTAGTCGCAAGATGCTTCGCAATCGATCAAGGCGTTGCACGTCGCCTCTCCGATCTGAATGGGTACATATAGCAATGGTGCGTCGATGTCATCGTACCGTTGCGTCTTGAACTCGCGGTCGATCTTCGCAATGTAAGTGTGAAGGTCGACAACCTCTACTCCCGCGTCCATCAACGGAGCTGGTCCTGCAGTGTGCAAGTAATCTCGCAGTTGTGCCATGAGCACATTGCAATGCAGTTTCGGCAATCGTCCGGTCGGGGGAACGGGCATCCACTGAAAGTCCGTGAACGTCAATGGGTCGAGCACCTCAAGTCTTGACCGCAACGATGAATCCCCGACGATAGATGGCGGCGAAGCTGCCGAATCGGTTGCTGATGGTGATGAAACCATGCATGCGGTAGATTGTTGCACGTGGAGCGGTTGGTCCAGCGGTGGAACCAAGTGGACAGCATAGTCCTCGTAAGTGTAACGAGAACTTGCGACATTCGCGTTCTCCCCAGATGTGCAGGAGGCCGCTAGCAAGGCGGCCGAATCTGGCGGAGTAGAAGGTGGAATCGCCTCACCTTCTGAGGAGCTCAATTTCCCGAGCTGAGGCGGGGTCGCACATCCTCCTTGCCCTGATCCTGGCACAGGGAGGTCTTGTGCTTGGTGCTGTTGCACCAATAGCAGCTGCCGTAGCGGCCGCGGACTTTGTACTCCGCCTCGGTCAAGCCGAACTTGACCTATGGAACTTGTACTGGCTGTCCATTTCCGACCTGCGATGCGGATTTCGCCTTCCCATTGTTGCGGGACTTGTTGTTGCTTCGCGGCTGGACAGCAGCCACCTGATCTCCGTCACTTGATGCTGGAGTGGCTGCTGGGTTATCTCCACTGTCCGACTGGACTGCAGCAAAGTGCTGCTGTCGCGGACCAGTTCGTATCTTCTCCACATAGGTCGGCTGCCATGTTGATTTCTCGTGTGCATCTGACCTGTTGGTCTTGATGATCTCCCTCGCCTTGTCAATGATCTCAGCGAAGGTTGAGTACTCCTCGCGATCACCAAGAGCCTGGCTCAATGCCGCACATGACCTGTTGTAGAACTCACGGCGTAGATGCGTGAATGTCAATTCCAGATTGGGCACCGCCACAATCTTCTGCCACTCCGTGAGCCAATCCCGTGTTGCAGTGTTGCCCTGTGACATGGTGAACAGACGGTTGATGGCGAGTGTCGGCGCGTCGTCGACGATGGTCCGCTTCTTCCACAACCGTGTCAGTTCCTCCCATGTGATTTTGTCCTTCAAGTCCGGTACGTCGATGCCGTGAGAGGTTGCCAGGTGGCTCAACCAGGTCTGGCATCCGCCCTTTGAGTTCAGGAGCAGGGCGCCGATGTACGCGTGCTTGGCAACGGGCAGAATCCTGAGTTGCRTTGTGAATGCTTCCCACCAGAGGACCGGATCCTGCTGTGTGTAGTCGTCGAACTTGTCCAGTTGGAAAGTTGGCATTTTGTACATCTTCGGATTGTCATCCGCGTTCGTCGACTACAACTGCTGGACCTCGGTCTTCAAGGTATGCAGCTGAATGCTGATGGTGGTCGGCGCAGCGAAGGTGCTGATGTCGCCGAGCATTTCCACTACGTGGTCAACGCGTTCCTCCAGTTGGCGGCTAGAGGATGCACTGCTGGAAGCCCCAGCAGTTGGTGTTCCGTCGTCGCCGTTTGGTTCGAAGTGCCAGAACTTGAGTTTTTCGATGCTTGTGGCTTCATACCGCTGCAGCAGATCCTGGGCTTCCTTGCGGCGAGCCCGGGCATCTGCATCTGCTTCGGCCTGTAGCCGCAGCTTCTCTGCTGTTGCCGCTTCTTCAGCCTGTAGCTGGGCAGCCTTGACTGCCAGCTGGCGTTGTTCCTCAGCCTCGATTGCAACGAGCTGAGCCTGGAAGTGCTTTTTGTAGTCGGCAATGGGCTCATTGGCCAGTTGGCCTGGCAGGCCCGTCATGTTGCTGACGTGGCACTGTGTCTGACGTGGCACTGTGTCAACGTGGCACTGCTTACGTGGCACTGTGTCTGACGTGGCAC